CCCGTAACCAAAAGGACGACACCTAGCCAGCACAGGACATACGTAGCAACCAAGCCCCCGGTAGCAGCAAAGCGAAATGGCTCGTGTCGAAATGGCTCGCAAAGGGACCGGTTTTGTAGGCTTCTTGTTGCCAAAAGCAAAGAGGCGCAAAAAGCGTCCTTGTTCCTAGTAGCGATGCCAGGAGCCCCAAAACTTCATCATTTTGGACTTCCGTTCAACTGATCCACAGCGGTGGGTCAATCCGTCTGGAAAAACAGCAAGCCAACACACATAGCAGTATTATATACATATATAGTAATTTAATATACAAATAGTCTGCCTGTTCATTATTGGATGATAAACAAAAAGGCACACGATTTATAGTATGCAACATACTGACCACTGAAAGGGAGAGACAGAACGTCAAGTCTGTTCCTGCAAGAACCTTTCTTGCCAGAGTTTCTCGTCCAAGGTTTCGACAAAATAATAGACCTTTCTTACCTTTCATTATTCTTTGTTTCTAGTAGCGATGGGCTCCAATCTACCAGTGATGGCCTGCGTCCACTTTGTCCTTTGACCCTTGGGGCCGCGACGCCAATGGGCAAATGAGGTTCCTTGAAGGAAATGTCGATGGCACCTACCTGCAAGTCGAAGCGCACATGAGGTGACAAGGAGGTACAACTGTACAACTTAATCAGATGTCAAAACTAAATGTGTGACGCTCTTTCCTGCAGTCTCCAAACTTGGCAAGTTGCCTTCTTCCGTGACTGCTTGGGCAGAATTTCCATTGCACTCCTACGGCTCAGGGGAATTCTCATATATCTATATATAGATATATGCACATCACTTACCAAAATTCCACTCAGAACTCTGCCACAGAGCTGAGTTCCAGGCTTCGGGGGAATGCGATGTTCAGGAACATCAGTGGGGAGGGTCCACCTGGATTCAGTTGCTCCAGCGAACCCCACTACACCAAGGGGTTGTCATCAAATTTTGCCCTACCTTTGAAAATTCAGAGCTGTTCAACATTGTTGCTGCTGGGCGCACTTCATTGTGCGGGAGATGTTTACTGTGCCAGGAGCAGGATCCTCGATGAACTGCGGCAGGTACTCGCCGTTGTACCCTTGAGAATGCTGCCATCTTCGCAACATGACAAAAACACGACAATTGAATACCGTGCGATATTGTTTCTGACCTTGTACATCATTCTGCTTGATTGGTCCGGCAGCTCAGGGCACGACGATTGAATCCCACGGATTCAAACCAGCTGTAGAAAACAGCGGCCTCGACGACCGCCAAGTGTAGGGTGTTTGGAAGGCTCCAAGCGCTAACTAAGTGAATCAACGTCTTTCGAAGAATGTCCAGTCTTATCCACAAAAAATGGCAACCAACACAGGACCGAACCCTTTATCGTTTGTGTGCCTGATCCTTCCACTTGGTTGGAAGGCCATCATCGCGGATCACAACATCTGCAAGCATGACCTGAATGTTCTTCAAATTGCGGAATTATCTTGAACACTCCTGCACACTGGTCTTAAAATGCTGAACAACGTCCCTAAGTCGCGTTCAACTGCTGCTGCCGCTGCCTCCTCCGCCTCCTCGTCCTCCCACTGCTACTGCTACTGCCACTCCTACCCTACTCCTCCTCCTACCCCCATGGACGCTGAGGGAGATGATGAGCCGAAGTGCCCATCGCCATCTCCAGCTCGGGACACGCCAGATCCGCTCTTCCTTCGACCACCACCAGTGCGCGGCTACTGCATTTGCATCAAGAGTGGCGAGAGGATTCGAAGCATCACCGTGAGAGCGCATTGGCAAAGAACCTTGAGCTATGCCCTATGTGCTTGACTGTGGGCCTAGTGTCGAGGGATCAAAGCCTTTGCTTCAGCTTCGAGCATAGCAAGTACATCCACGACATGAGGGATGATGGAACCAGCCGGTGCTTGCGCCACTTTTTGATCGAAAGCTCAAGCCGCGCAAGCAATGCATTTACATCCCATGAGATAGATCCCGACCGGATTCCATTCATGAGGTTTAAGTTCGAAGGAATCAATAGCCAACTTTCGCAGAAATTGACGCTTTTGTTCATGAGTACAAGCGTTCAAATCCAGAACTCCTGCTTGAGCGGGGGTGTGAGAGTTCGTGCTTTCGTGTACTCGAGTACCAAGTACATGACAAACAGCAGTTCATGGAGTCCAGTGATCATATCTTGGGTTTGCTCTAGCCTGCGGTCGCAAGACCATTTTTGGGCATGGTTTTTGACAGGTGCACAAACCAAGAAGTGTACCAAGTTGTTCAGTTCGAGCCACTTTCGAGCCGAGCAGGGTCACAAGGGCCCCTGCACAAGGATGACGCGCCCCACTGGACGGAGTGGGATTGGGCGTTTCGACCATTCGCGGTCGAGGGAGTCGGGCTTTAAGGTTCGAGGTTTGTTGAAGGTTCATGTCACTTAACTTTTGTTTTTAGGACGTTCACTGTTGCAGTAGAAACTTCATACCACCACCACCACCACCACCACCACCACAACCTGCTGCTGCTGCTGCCGCCGCCGCGGCTGCTGCTGCCGCTGCTGCTGCTGCTGCCGCCGCCAGGAAACCAGGATTCGCAAACGGACTGAACTGAGTTCAAAGGTGTGGCAGGTTGGGGTCATTGAACCTCTCGGCAGGGATGCTCAAACATGCTCGAATTGAGAACTGCTCTGTCATAACTAAGCTCTGGGCATAGCGCACGTAGTTCCAAATGCCAGTGTTCACAAACTCCACACCCCACCTGCCGCCAACTAGAATGTGCAAACCTCCCTATCTCATTGCTTGGCTCACTTTCCTTTCCTTCGAAGCCAAGCCGCTTCTTGGTGAGGTAGTTGCGAACCTGCTAGCAGAGTTGATTTCTGACGTAATGCCGTGCTAAATGCTCCGTGTGCGGCTAGAATGCCTGAAAATTCAAGGAATACAAAAAAACGATTGTCTTCTTACACGTTGCACCCAAACGTTTGATCCCCTGGCCTGGTGACCAACCTGCTCGCCACGCTTGTAGACCAAATAGGGCACATCCTCGCACAGTTGTTGTCAACATTCCGTTTCAAACGGAGTGGTCCACAATTCAGCCAGAACGGAGTGGTCCACAATTCAGCCAGTGTCAGAGACGTGCCTCCCACCGGACCTTGCCAGTGTCAACATCAAAGATGCAGCGCGCTGTTGGCACATACCACGCTGAGGTGTTGCGGGAGCGCATGTTCAAGATCATGTCCATGTACCTGCAGACTGATGAATGATGCGCAACCAGCGCCACACACAGATTTTGGAGCACTCAAGGGTGAACGATCCTGCTGGATCCAGCAGCTCATGATACCTGCATTGTTCTGCAAGGTTCTGTCGGTTCCCTTCCTTTTTCATTTGTTTCAGTCTTGCATCTGTGTTGGATCAAGAATTGAACGTCTGCCCGCACGTTTGTGTGTTGTGCAACCTGGGAGCAAGAAGGAGATTGCTTCTGCTGAAAAAGGCTGCACTGATGGCAACCGAGTTAAACGAATTGACTTGGTGGCACACAAACATCGTGTTTCACGATGCCCCGGTGTGGCCGACCAAAAAAGCGTCAGTGGAAAACCTAGAAAACAGCCCAAACACAGCTAACGCTTGACAGCCCAAAAGTTTCTTACCTCGTCTGCAAGCCGGACTCTTTCTTCAACTCAGTTCTCTTGATCCTCGACAATGCTGGGCACCAGCATCTTGCGCAGGCTGCTGCACAGCTGTGTCCACAATTGAAAGACAACTCCAACACCATTGGGCACCGCAGCAGCAGCTCCCGGAATGCTTCTGGTGATTGAAACTCCTCTGGTGCCGTGGCCAAGGCGTCCTGGTAAGCTGCAGCAGGCCTATTCAATGCCTTTGGGCTTTCTTGGAGCACATAGCGCAACTCTTCCTTGGTCAGTTTTAAGGGGCCTGATGTGAAGTAGTCAAGACCCTCAGAGATCTTGGCAGAATCGGGGTTCTCAGGCTTGAGGTATGCAGCTCTGTTCACAGCAAGCCAAGTCGACCAGCCAAATCCTTTTGCCAGAATTGTTTCCGCCTCATCTGTCTGCAGGCCACAAGCATTGGCCACAGCTGTTGCAGAGTCAAACCATTGGTTCAGGCATCCTCCTTCTTTCAGGGCTTCCCGTATAGCTGGCACTACTGGAGAGGTGGCAAAAGTCGTGCCGGAAGAAGCTTGGACCTTGGTGCATTCACGCTGGCGGAGCCCTCTGGGAGAGAGAAATGCGTCCGTCTGGTTGAAACGCAAGGAATTCCATACCAGGCACACTACAGCAAGAGCCAGCCAGCCCTTCCGCACGGACATGTCTGCAGGAACTGGTGCCACTAGCACCAAATACTCAATGGTCCTGTCTGCTAAGGGCTATGAACTCATTAGGTGGATATATATATATATATATATGTTTTTAATTAAGTGGATAAGCTAGGATAAGCTCAGCCTTGCGACAAGTGAAAAAACTAGACTGACTACACGTGTCAACTCGTGAAAAGTTGGTTTCATCATCCCAGGTTTCAAGAAATGTCCTGTGCAGATCTTTGAATGGTTGATTTCACCTATGTCTGATCCTATCAAGAGCATGATGATGTGGTGCCCGAAAATGGGCAGCTCTGCGTCCAGTCATCAACTCGTTGACTCATCTGTCATCGAGTCTGTGGATTGAAACACAATGAGTTCACAAGTCAATCATCAATCGTTTGATCCATTCATTTGAAGAATCCTGATCCAAGGCTGTTGATTTCGTACGTCCTTTCTTTTGCGCTGTCTGGCCTGTCGGTGCGTGCGAAGAACGCATGGTCTTCCAGGAAGTCCACCTTGCACTGGCAAATACATCCACGCGCGATTCTGGCAAGAGTCGCTCTAACCTGAAAAAGTCCAGCCTGAGGGCCTTCCTTGAAGTCCTGCAAGAACCAGCACATCAAGACTCCGACTCTGGTTTCTTGCCTATACAAACACATCAAAGTGTCGGTGAGTTGAACTAGTTGGCTTCTTGCTCGATGCTCCGCAACCCCAGTCCTCTGGCTTCCTCTGCGTAAGCAAGTTCAAGCTAAGGTCATAGTCAATGCGATAGCCTCAGAAAGATTAGTGACTTCAGAAACCTATCTACCTCAAGACATGTTTCAGTTGATCAGTGGAAAAGGGAACTGTTTCTTCGCTCGAACGGCTTCGTTCCCATCACGAGCCTCTGACTTAACATGACCAGCTTGGTCATCAAACCAACGTGCACCAAGCTTCAATTGGTCTGAAGCCAGCGACGTCTGCAACCCAGTTTTGGGTCACACTGTAGAATCCAAGCACTGCCCTTGGGGCAGCTTGTCAAACACTTCCAGCCCTTGGATCCTCTGATCCTCAGACCAGTCTCCTCCAACTGAAAAAGCATGAAGCAGCCAGGCGCAACCGCTTGGGTCTTACAACCGAAGTGACAAGTACATTGCTATTCAGTGACCCATAGCAAGCCTAAGGGCATGGAAAGCATGCAGGCTACACTTACAACAAAGACACTAAACTGAAATCCCACCAGCCACCTCCTTCACCACAACTCATCCGCGCGATATCCTTGGCAGCGTTGTTTCAAGCTTGGACTCCTCTCACAAGCGACAACCAAACCCGACCAAACCCGAACAAACATCAGCTTGCTTGGTATTCGATGGCCGAAGCTGCCACAGAGAATCTTTCAAACCATGAGAAATGACAAGGTGGTCGCACCACATAGCCAGTTAGGTTGGTGTGATTAGCTTGGGAGGCCGTCGCTATTAGGTTGGAGGCCATCGGTATTGGGTTGGAGGTGATCGCCAGTAGTTTCTTGGCTTTTGAGTTTTGTTTTGTTATTCATAAACCGCAAACCTGTCCGACAAAGCCCCAGACTTCTGGGAACCCAGGGCGACTGGTGAACCTGGCTGTGCAGATTGCACAAACAGGTCGATCCGCAAGAATGCCAACGTTGCTGTGTTTTGTGCAACGCTGTGTGAATAAAGGGCTCTCGAGCCTCAATCCTAGGACTCTGTAGATGTTTATTCAATAAATGATCGCTTGCCATTCATGCAAAGACCTGGCTTAGGCTTCTGGCACGGGCAAGGATCTGCTGCTGCTGCATCTGTCGCTGGAGAAGCTCCAGCTGTAGCTGCTGTTGCTGCAACTGGAGATGCATCTGCACCAGCTGATGTTGCACCTGACTTGTGAACTGAAGAAATCTGGAAAGAAGTCGACACGAGCACAAGATTAAACTAGAGACATGGCTGAATGCAAAAGATGTCTACAGTATATCCTCCCCTGCACAAGTCGAGGGCACGGCCTGGTCGTGGCCATGACCTCCCATCCTCAAGAAGCTCGAGTGAACATGATTTCAATGATGTACATTCCCAAGATTGAAAAACGAGTCATCATCTTCCCAGATCTTCTCAGATCCTCCGCCTAATTTTTTGCATAAGTGGATCTTTCGTGGTCAAAGTAATCACTGCAGGTACCTCAGGAATCTCTATTCAGCTTCAGCCCAGATTCTCCGCAAAGCGCGGTCCAGCAGGTGGAAACTGCCACGGACGCTCCTGAAAGGAACTGCGAAAAAGTCCAACAAGTCCCATTGAAGTTTTCTAGATTCTACACCTCATGTCATCCCTTTCTAGTGAAACATATCATTCATCCTCATTCACACTGAACGGATGCTAAAGCAACATGAGACTTTATAGACAACTTGCTTGGCAAGATCCAACATGGGTCTGCATGCATGTTGCGCTATGAGCCGTTCCTGCGGCCGAGCTCGCTGGCGCTCTGGCTCTGGCGAGATGCGCTCAGGAGCACGATACGCGTCTGCCGCTCGGCTTGGCGCCCTGCCGAGAGCACCAGGAACTACTGATTTGATAAGAACGGAATGGTTTCATACAACCTACATGCTGTCTGCCAGTCTCCACAAGGAACAAGCAACGTGTATCGTTAGACTTTACAGCCAGCTCCAGGTTTGTCAACGCTGTGCACTCCCTTCAGCACCACAAGCACGAGAGGGGCAACACGACATGCAATGGACTCTATGCTCTCCAGCCCCTTGCCAAGCCTATTAACTTCAGGCAGGAAGTTTCCATATGCTTGTGAAGAAGTGACCCACTCACCTGGCAGGCCACAATGGCCAACCGTTGAGGCTGTTGGATGTGGCCTTCTTGCCATGAAAAAAAGATCTTCACTTTGCACCAGCTGTGCTTCCTCCTAGACTCTAGACACCTACCTTGCTATTGGCAATTCATGAAGGTGTTGTCCTGAAGTCCATGTCAGCAAAGGCAAGCAAAAATCCTATGATGAATTCAATATTATCGTATAATCCTTTCTGGGCAATCCTTCGTGGGCCCAACTTGATCTTTTCGAAAACAGTAGTCTTTCCCATCAATGATGTATGCAACTTTTTTGCATATGTGTACATATATATATATATAACAAGCAAGAGAAGCTGCAGCTCTGCAGGGACAACAACTTGAGAGAACAAACTGATTACCCAAACCCTTTTGGAAGATGTCTCCCTTAGTGGAACCACCAGTGGAGTGCCAGTCATGGTGCCAGCAACTAGGTAGCCACAGGTCGCTGTTTCTTTGCTTCTGCATGCCTCGACAGTCCATGCTACAGTTCTTAATATTAGGAAAAATATTCCTATGCTCTATGGTCGTCTCGAGTTCTCTTAGAATAGAATTCTGTCCTCAAAAGATCGAAACATTCCACCCGCATGAAATCTACGCTGGAGAAATGGGTGACGTGGCCACACCAGACCTCGAACTTCTTGTACTGGAATATAACTAGGCAATGAAGCACGCATTTAGCAGTAAGCCTATCAAGTAGAAACGCTCTGTGCTCCACACCATGCTCAAAGTCCAAAAGCTACGCAACCATTTCAGGCAGACCCTCGGAATGGCTGCGCCGCACCATCAAAAGGGGACGCGAAGCCTAAGGTACAATTGGTCGGCCTGGCATTCCGAATAGAGCTGGGGCAATCCACAAGCGGAACTGGTCTGCTTTCCTCGGATTCCTTCAGCGAAAAAGAACGCTGAAAGTGTGGAAACAAATCTGCGGATGGGCAGCATGCATCTGTGCATCTTGCTGTGCTATCCATGGCATCCCTCTTCAATGACGGCTCGAAGCCAAAGGCTGCAGGCATCGCATTTCGCTTCTGGACACTACTTCAACAAAACTAAACACAAAGCATCACAAGACTTGAAAGAGTAGCCTTGCCAATCATTCTTCATAGTCCCCACAACTACCCCGGAGGATTGGAGGATTGCTAGCTGCTAGTCGTCTTGAGAGCGCATCCTGTGGCCCGTGCCAGTCTTGCTTGTGGGCGAGGGTCGCACGTGCAAGTTCTGGTGGTGCCTCAAATTGAGACAATCAAAGCCCAGACACCCATCACACCAATGCCCTAAGTTGGTGGACCCTTCGAATATAGTCCAACCACTTGCATACGCAATGATTTTGGGAAATGTGTCAGGACTCAGGACATACAAAGTGTTCAGCAATCCAGTCCCATTCACCATCTTTGTGGTGCGTTTGCTCCAGTTTACATGGTAGCGGAGCCCTTCCGGGGAGCCCCTCCGGTGGCTCCGGCGAACGACATCAACTCCAAGGAGGGCGACTTCAAGCAGGATCGGCTTTCAAGCAGGGCGTCTTGTGACACTTGAATGCATCAGCAATCCTGTGGCCTTACAAGGAAGTGTCAACTGTTTAGTAGAAGACCAGGCCACTTCGACAAACCCACAAACTTCGATGATTTCTTGCATACAAGCTAGAATTCGATCAGTGCAAGGTCATCAGAATTGTCAGGTAGAAGGAGAAAAGTGACAAGCCAGAGATTTGCTTTGTTGACGAATTCCACGAGGTGGAAGTTCAGGTACCTCAGACCTGGAGGCTGCTACAACACAGAGGAGATTCAGAGTTTTGAGTTTGAGGTTATTGAGGACAAAAGCATTTGTTTGAAGAGAAGAATGGAGTGAAAGTGTTTTGGAGGGCTAAGAAGAAGGAAAAATGCCTTTGTCACCATTGAAATGACAGAGGAACATCGTCTTTGGAACGACCCTCTGCAGCAGTTGGTGCACTTACAACAGAACCAGCAATGGAACAAGCATATCAAGGCACCAAACATGTTCAAGCCAAGCAACAGAGATGCGGAACTTCGACAATGGCCGGATTGGATGTTCACGTTCATGCAAATTGTGAAGGCGGTTGAACCTAGGACTGCAGAATTGCTTGAAACCATAAACAAACAGCCAAACGGCAACTATGAGCTTGAGGAGATGGATGATGACACAAACATTAAGAACAGGCCACCCTCCCTCATTCAACATCTTGAGGACTTCAATGGATCCAAAAGGATGGAAATTGTTGGCCTGTGACATGGAACCAACCACAAGGCAGAAAGGCTTGGCCCTGGTCACACAGTTGAGCAAAGTTGAATTCTGGTCTTCAAAGACGATTACGGAGCAGATCCCGGCCTATGAAAGCCTCGTACAAGAGTGCGAGAGGATTTCAGGAGAGGCAAGTGTCCAGAAGATTCCATGATTGCACTGCCGGCCTTGCGGACACAACTACCAGCTCACAGAGACTACAACCTATGAGCAAATTCTTGGAGAGAATCATGCACTACGAAAGCATCACACTCACCACAAGGTGGGACTTGACAAACTGCTGTGAGAGGCAACCGGATGAGGCTGTGCCTATGGAAGTGGCATGGTCACAAAGGGAAAGAAAGGAAAAGACAAGAGCAACGGAAAGCAGAAAGGTAAGAAAAAAAAATGATGGCAAGAAACATGATGGCAAGAACAAGGGCGGACATTTTAAAACTGCACATCAAAAGGAAACAAGAAGGGACAAAATGACAAAGGGAAAGACACACGTCCCATTTGCCATAACTGCGGGAAAAAGGGACATCTAGGAGTCTAGCACGAGAGTGCTGGAGTCCAAAGAAAGTACAGCTTGCTGACACCACCTGACGCACCTCAGACGGTCGTGTTCGACATGAGGATGAGAGCCTGAAGATGAACCGGGTGTGGACAATCATGGAGGTTTGAGATGAGACTTCAGAGGATGAGCCATTTCAGGACGAGGAATGGCAAATGGAGGATGAGCATGAAGAGGAGTGAGGACACAAAAGATGTCTTCCACGATTGCGAAAATGAGGATGGCATTTGGACCCCTCCAAATGTCAGCATTGTTGCCATGCATCTTCAAGATGATGAAGCCATTGAGGAGCAAGAAAAAGATAGAGAGAGAGAAGAAGGAAGATGAGTTCCATGTGAGAACGGTTCAGACAGAACAAGAGGACAAAATGGTTTGCACTGATAAGAAGCAGAAAGTGAAAATGATTGACGCCCAAGGAAAGGTGATAGCCTCAGCTGGAGTGACGAAAGCCAAACTCACAGTGAGGAACAAATGGGAGATTGACATGCAAGAACAATATGCCCTTGGACGGGTGAAAGAGCTATTGTTGTGCGCAGAAGATAGGCCATCGACCACCGTGAATGCAGTAGGAACCGAATACGCACACGATGATCCCTTTGCACCATGAGAATCACAGCATTTACCTGAAGGCCAAGATCGAGATGGTCGGCATCAGCGTGGACGAAGAGGAGTTGCTTCAGAGACAGTCTTGCGAGTTTTGGAGGAGAGCAAGCAGAGGAGGCGAGACAGAGAGGAAGATGTGACAGAGGAGAGGAAGAGTCCACACTAGACACCGGCCGACGGAGTCTTTGCACTTGACAGCTGTTGGAGCGAGTTGATGAACCGTCTTCCAAATGGTGTGGCAATCACTCAGACTCAGTTCCAGACAAGTATCTCAATCCTGAGGGGATGCTCAATGAGAAATGGAACAAAAGATTGACGCTCGTGAAGAAACCTGGAACTGAAGAGATCTGGATTCAGGTCGAGAAAACAAACAACTTCAAAGAGCATGAAGAATTTGCATTCAGGTACTTGGTACCTACGTGAGACCCTCAGAGAACCTTGACATTCCTGTCACCTTCGTCTTTTGAGAACTTCTAAGAAGAAGGCAGTGAAACTCCTTTGGCTCCATTCCCAAAAGTGCGGGATGTATTGGATGCATTGCATCAAATCGATTGGGATGAGGATGAATATGAGACAGGTGAGGCTGACGAGACCGCACTCGCAATGGAGGAGCCACAACACCATGAGAGAGACCCTACAAAGGAGGTTGCCTTGGACGACAAAGTCTTCAAGATGGATGAACCCAAGGTGTTGCCAGAAGCATGTGCACACAAAGGTCTACCCACAATTTCAATCTGGGGTTGAAGTGCGAGCTAGAAGCAAGTATTGCAAGAAAGCTCTATGAGGAGGAGCAACGAAAAGCAATCAAAGTACCCAAGATGCCTAGGCCTAGGCGAGGTTCAAAACCACCACAACCTGATGCATGCTTAGCAAAAACATCAAAGGAGGACCTTCGACTTTGCTTATACTCCTATACCGCTGTACCTTCACAAATGAAAGCTATGAGCCAGTCCTTGGAGAGCATGCGTAACCGTGTAACCAGAAGATTACCCCAACATACCCCAACCAGAACGGTACTATGTTGGGGGCGGCAATCTCAGATACAAAGGCTGTGATTGCGCTTCCAGTCTTAGCCAAGGGGACGGCCATACTGTTGAGGAGTTGGTTCGATTCAGTCTTCACAACAGCAACCAAGAAGACCTTGTGCTGCATGCAGAGGGTGAGAGCAGTTGCTTGCAAATCTTGAGGCAATACAGCAAACAAAGGCAAAGCGGCAAGACTAAATCTCAAGACAGAGATCCGTGTGACCGGAAAAGACCATCATCAGAGCAAAGGGGCCGCAGAACGTGCTGCACAAAGTGTGAGGAGAATAGGAAATTGCATCAGAGAATATTGCCAAGCACATTGCAGCCATCACATTGGAGGAGACACAGACATCTACCCATGGACGTTCAGGCATGAAGGATGGTTGATCAACAGATTTCGTGTTGCAGACTCACATCTTACGTGCCAAAGTGGACAGTGCTAAGCCATGGCCTGTTCATCTACAACATGATATTCATATTTCAACTGGAATGAGGCAGAGATGTGACCTGCTATTTCCACAAACACCACAGTTCCCCAACTACAGCACCGGCACAAAGGCAAACTTTCGCATCTCAGCTGCAGCTGCACTCCGCAGCTGCACTCCGCAGCTGCGACCGCCCCGGCTCAACTAGACCGACCCTGTGAGTCAAAAGAGAAACCGAACTTAAGGACCGGACACCCCACAAGTGAAGTGTATTGCGGCTGAACAGGTGAAAAAAAGTGCGGAGAGTAAAGGAAGCACCCATCATATGAATCTGTTTGAGTATGCTATTGCCAACCACGCAACATCCCGTTCGGTGCCTCTTCTTGGTGACCATGTGGCGCTGTCTACTTGTGGTTTTGGGTCCTCCACCAAATGAATCTGTTTGAGTGTGCTTTTGTGTATGGAGCACTTGAGCAAAAACCCCTTCGCCACCACTGCCACCACCGCGCCTACAACCAAAACCACGATTACTGGAAATATGTTCACAAAAGATCACACGAGAACCTCTTATCGCCTTCCATATTTCGTGCAGCGCAATAGAATTATCAGGTCTTGGTGTGAGTGTGTGTGTGTGTGCGTGCGCGCATTGCTCCCGATTTCGAGACCTGCTGTGGCTACTCCAACTCCACAAGCAAGAACTCATTGAAGAATGCGAGTCGGATCGCATGAAAAAAGACTCTGCTTCAAAAAGCAAAAGACTCTGCCGTGTTGTCCATCCGCCCGTCGGCTGCTTGAGCGGTGGACCCATGTGGCACAACGATGTGGTCGCTTGCAGCCTTGCACGGAGGAGTGGAACTGCTTGTGCTGGCAGAGCCTTGTAAACTTGTGGCCTTCATTTGATCCTGAAGGAGCCTTTCTAGTGCCGTCACTGGTCATGTGTTCTGCTTGGTTCCTGTCACAATTGCTTGCGATCAGTTAGTTGCCCGAGTTGTGGTGGCTGAAGAAAGGTCCAAATGATTCCTCTCAAGTGGCTTTCCTTTTCAAGAGCACACGGCATGCGGCCTCATAAATTTGAGGTGCAGCAATTGGGAAATGCGGATTTGCCTGGTGACAGCCATTTTGGAGTAATGCAACTGCACATAGCAATAAGCAAACACTTGTCATCTGCCCATATGTTGCAACTGGAACCCTGACCATGTTAGATTCCAGAACAAGGCATGACAAGACTGTAAACACACAAATGTTCACTCATGACTCACGAACAAACAAACTGCACACCTCCAGCGCCCTGAACATCTCACACGCAAAGTCTCTCTCCATGGGGTATGCCTGGCTGGTCTCTAAGTGAAGTTGAGCAAACACCATCGTACTGCCATACGGCTGCAAGGCTCGCTCAGTTGCTCCGCTGATGCACATTTTTGCTGCAAAGGACTTGGTCGGTAAATTAAGGAACGAATCGAAACTGCATAGTTCCATTGCAACATTTTGCAACGGTTCTCAGGTTCTCCATCACGGTCCAATTGAAGCTTTCGGAGCTTTCTTTCAAAGATCCCCAAAGCATGAAACTGAGAGACTCAGAAACACTGAGCAGTCCCTCGCATCAGATTTTGCAAGCGTTTTCGACACTCTTCTTGCATCACCTAAGTCCTTTTGTCTTGATGTCCTTCAAAGAAAACAAAGTCAATCAAGAAGGTCATCCCAAGGAGGCCGGCCTTGCGTTGAGGGCTGGATCCCGGCGGAAAGACAACTGCAAAGGTGTCGGCCGTAGAGCAACACTCCTTCTTCAATCCAGCCCAAACCTTGCGGATCTGTGGAGTGTTGGCATCCTCATACTTCCCTCCGAGGACTTCTTCACTCTTTGGATCGTGGAAGTAGAAGGGCATGTAGACCAGACCCTTGCCACTGCAGCAGTTGCAAGCCACACAAGCACCGCCGCAGCAGGTTTCAGGCTTGATCAAGTACAAGACTTCATTGTTCTCGTGGTAGGTGAACTTGGGCACACAAAGGCACATGTCACAGTAGTAGCGAGACTCTGATCCAATTGATTGCCCTTTCGGAGTGTGCGGTGTAAGCTGTGGCAAACAGCAGCAACAAGGGCAATCGATAGATCCTCCGTTGTCAGTTTGGACCGTAAAAAATGCTGGACACGTTAACGGCTTATCATAGTACAGGATAGGTTGGCCACCAGGATCCCCTCCACTGGAGACATGCATTTGAAAGTTGCGTCCAGCAGGGTTGCAGACCCTGCAGCAGCAACTGGAATGCTCAATGGCATACATGATGTCTGGAACTCCCATTGCTGCCTCCGTCACTCGGATGCCATCAATTGCTTGAGGATTGAAAGGTGCCACCTTGTACTCTGACTTTGCGTCACAGCCCAAACACTCCTGACAGCAACCACGCATCGTTTGCTTTACCAAGAGTGCTTCATGAGGGCCAAAGACGGACTCCAGCTCATAGCCTCCAGCATCCATTTCCACTTGCTTCGGTGCCTCCATTGCGTGCTTTTCGGCCTACAGGTGGTGTGAAGCTTCACTGACGCGTGTTTGGGCCAAACTTTGTCTAAGAGAAAGAGCAGTTTGAGAAAACGGGTCGACAAACAGCTTGTTGTTGGACTTCGTGATCAAAAAAATACCTATATGATTCAAACATTGCAGGTTGGCATCATTGTGCATCAGCACCTCACTAGCAAGCCAAGGACAACTGCTCTGAATCGATCAAGAAGGTTGTCAACACCATTGCTGTAACCTGCTCTTCTATTTGCTTGCATGTTTGGGCTCCCAACTGCATACTTGGTCTTCAACATCGGCTGAATCTGCACGGGAATCGGAAGAGTGTACATGCAGAATCTGTGCTTCTTCGAAGTCTCACAGTCTCACATCATCAATATTGATCGAACTAAAAACCATACATGGTATATAAATATGAATGTTAATGGGTTATATAAAATCCGCTGCAGCAGTCCAGAATACTCTCCGCAGGAAGTTTACCCCTTTCGTGTCCGTTCTTGACCAATGCCACTTATATATTATATCAGACTGTGGGATGGCCACCAGTGCGCCTTCAAGAAACCAGCAATGGGAGCGTCGGCATTTCCCACAGACACCTGCGTCGGCATCTCTTACTTCTCAAGCCACTACTTTTGAAGTGGATTCTTTCAACTCAACTGGCTTGTGAGAAGACACCCTGCTTCAATGGCAATGAGAAAATGAAGCAGCTCCCCTTTTCACTGAGAGATGCCAAGCCTCGTGGTAATTCCTGAAGAGCCGCTTGCCAATGGTTGCGCTGTCGATGTTGCGGCCTGTGAAGAAAGTTGAAACTTTTGGACGCTACAAGGCTGAGTGTGTCCGCTGAGATCGCAGCAGCCACGGATGTTGGGATAGGCGTAGTAGACGTTCATATCTGGGCGATGTCAGAACAAATGACACTCGAGGGGATCTTTTTCGTTCTTGTCAGTCCTAGAGTCATAGAATACCAATGCGGATCCCAAGTTTGGCCCATATGTTCCACACTCTGGCTGCTTGGCTTTGAAGTCTGCAGTTCTTTTCCGAGCTCGCTCTTTCTGCTCACCATAGCGCCATGGTGTCTTCTCTCGGTTTAAACTGTTGCTCACCCTTGAACATTCGGAGGCATTTCGCAGTTTTGCTAACATGGGCCTCTCATCATCTTTCCACAGTTGACAAGGAGCACAAAGCAAGGTCAACGTTCTCTGTTGATGCGTTGCGCTTCTGTGGAGTTAATTATCACATAGACCGACAATCCAAACTTCCATTTGTGGCTGAAGTGCAGCCTCCTCCACCCTCTCAGGCTCTATGCTGCCCGTCTCATCTGCCAGTGCAGAACTCAAAAATCACCTGCGCCAAGCAGCACCCTGGAGTTGCCCACAGCTGATGTCATCCAAGCAGTGTGGACCGAAAGAACACTTTTCTCAACAAGTGCATTGGCACGATGCACAAACAAATTGGGAGTTTGGAGATGTCGAACCACCAATTCAGTTGAGGCATGTTGTCACTCCTTCGTTTCGAAAGAAAAGAACATCCCCGGTCCCACCAGCAAGGTGGCCAAGATTGCAAGCGCCAAGCATCCAACAGGACCCACAAGGTGCCACCAGGGCCGACCTGAAAAATCACCGCTGGGCCGACCATCGGCATCTGTGGAACTCAAAATGCCCAGCCTGCGTCGCTCTCGACACGGCTGTCCTAACATTTGGAACCCTCTCCACACCAGCAAAGAGTTTGCAAAGCCCTTCATGTTCACTCCGCAGCTCCTCAGCAGCCTCATCAGGTAAGGGAGCCTTAGATCCCAAGTAGAAAAACCATCAACTTCACACTTGGCAGCAGTTTGTATTGCAGGAACACGGGATGTCATCTGTTTTTTGAAGGTTCCCTGCTTTTTGCCTTTTGAGCAAGTATCACATTGGATTGCAGAAACTGAAACACGGCATAATTTCTGACTGACAGTGTGACAATGCCGGGAAGCTCTGATTGGAAGGCCTTGATCACGGTCATGCGCAGTGACCCATTTGTCAACAACATTGGAGACAGCGCGCCCCACAGCGGGTACCACGTCTGAGGCCTGTTTGATGGTGCACTGCCAACCAAGTGTCAGAACTGATAAACCATAAGCAACAGGCACGATGAGCGAACAACTAACTGTGAATTTTGTGGCCTTTCCACATGTATGGCCAAGTCGCACAAACAGTAAAACTGCTGCATATCTTCTCAAAGTTGGGTGGCCAAAACACAACAAAATAAGAAACAAGTGGTTGAACCGAACCTATTTTGTTCCTTGCAGTCCAGAAGCTACACTGGTGGCATTGCTGCTGTTTCCGCTGCAAGGACAGGGTGTAGTGCTTGCTACCGCAGCCTCACAGCATTTGTCCGTTGGCAATCTGTCGTGTTAGCTTGTGATGTCCGCTTGTAATGGTTCTTCATGGCGTGCCTTGCCAGTTTCATTTCCACCCGTTGCCCATTTGTTGAAGATGTCGGAGACTGCACGCCCCACGTCTTGGGCCTGATCAATCACACATGTTCCTCTAAACTTCTAAACCTCTTCGGTCTATCACTACCAAAGACATGAACATGCTGCCCAAGGGCAACTTCATTCTTGGACACCTTGGTGATAGCTTTCTTCACGTCAGACACGGTGTCTGCGATGTCATCCACCTTGGGAACAAGCTGTTTCCGCACAAGGTGGCACGCACCTGAAGATTTAAACACACAATCGGAAGCTGTCAACAAACACCTTCGCGTCGTGGAATCAAGCGCGCGTGCGCGCACGCACACACACACACACTTAGAAGAAAGTTCGGAAGAGCACAATCCGATATTTATCTGTCATGCATTTAGCCCTTTACAGTTACAGCAATAGATCTTGGCTTGTGAACGGCATGGTGGAGAACAGTATGAACCGATGCAAGGCCCATGAGGAATTGGAGGTACAATCAGAAGGTACATCTGGCTGATCAGGCCAGATATCAGTAAGGAACTTGATCATCTTTGATGTATCACCAATCAAGTCCATGGGTGATCCCCCTGTCGCAGTGCCTTAGAAACAGGGGTTTGACACTCACAGGGAGCCGTGATCCGGCGCACCCTTGACTAAAAAACCTGTTGAGCAGCCTCTAGAAGCTAGAAAAAGAAAGGCCAGGAAGGAATAAGACAACAGTTCAGAACCTCCTTTACGGCCTACATAACTAGCCTTTAGAAAGAGAGAGAGAACGGAGAACAACAGGAAGAGGAAATACAAGCAAAAAAACAAAGCGTCATGAGTTTCCGAGCATGAGCTTCGAATGAACGACAAATTAGAAGATGCGTTCCGTCAGGAACTGTGTGTTTTGGGGAACACGCCGCGTATGTCCAGCGCACCTAACAAGCCTTTCGCATCCAAAGGTGAATTCCAGCCTAGCCTGGGGGCGGCAATCTTATAAGGAACCCACTTGGAGGATGCACCCAAACTCTCTAAAAACCAATGAAACCAGTCTTGAAAAACACTGGAAAGCTTATAAGATGTGGGCACCCACCCTCAAGCTGGAAACTGAATTTATCCATATTTTCTGTATAAAAACTAGGAACGACATATGTAAATAGTCGAGTGTAGCAAATTTTTGTTCACATCTATTCATGTCTTCTGCAAAACTCTAACGATTGACTAATTGACTAATTCTTGCTTAATATTCTTTCGTTGTAGAACCAAGATTTGAGGTTCAGAATGATTTCTCTATAAAATTGAATGCGTTTTCTCTCCAAAATCAGGGCACCCACCCTACTCGTATTTCATCGACTTTACTCGTCCACTGTCTCCATGAGATCGAGACTACTATCAGAAACTCTTTAAAATCTCGAAAATGCTCAAAAGTTAATGATCATTGCGGGGATGGGTTTCACAGACAAAAAGTTGACCCAAAAAATACAATCTCTACATCGTCCATCTGATTTTGGGCACCAGTGTCCCTTATTCTACAAGGGATGTTCCCTGGGGATGCTTTAGGAAAGGAGAAAGAAGCATTAGAACAATGCAACTGCGTGAAAGCGAATTACTACTGGATATCAGTGGTAGTTTCAGCGGCTCTGCAACTTGGAGTCAACATTCCCAAGATTGAACTGAAGATTCAATCATGATCAAGCAAGGCAGGGGGTGTTCAGAAATAGGCACTCTTGAAAGTCTGCGAGTACAGCGCCCAAAAACGGGATCACACAGCAGACCGCATACTGAGGCCCGCCCAAAGGTGGGAGGGAGGACAAACACAGACCGTTAGGCGGCCATTAAAGTACAGGTGCACGAAAAAGAGGACAAGCAAAAGGACATGAAGGAAGAACATGAAAAAGCAAGCGATGCGTGTGGAGGTGAAAAGGAAACCAATGACTGAGAACAACGATGAGCCAAACATCATTGTACCAAGACCTGGGGCATCTAAAAGCCTCGTTTCGGAGTGTCAGTGCACGTACACTAGGGTTGACACCGACGTGTACGCAAAAGAACAAGAGAAAACACGAAACCAAAAAAGGAAAGAAAATGTGCGTGTGTGTGTGTGTGTGTGCGTGCTTGCAGATGATGGGGAAACCAAATGAGACGGACGATCCAAACCTCATTATATAAAGCCTGGGCAACCTAGCTTCGCTTTGTATGGAAAGAGTGCTATGCGCGTTGCATTATTCAGGCTCCGGCTGCGATCTAAAACTCCAAACTCTGCTCTGCCCTGTGCATCGCTGGCAACTTTCACCCCGAAGTTCGACTGGGGACACGGAAGGCACACGTTGGGCTCACTCCGGACTTTCACGAGGAGAGACACACTTGAGATAAGAGTTTGTACGAAAGCCAAGTGCCTAGAAGATGCCTGGGTGAAAATTACTCAGCAAAACAGGTGGCCAAGAAACACTTCACAGCCCAAGAACGCATGAGACACCTCGTGTGGGTGAGGGATCAAGAAAGGTACAGCATCCATTAAAAAAAATATTCGACGGGGACCAACAAGAAATACAGAAGGGATAACAAACAACTATTCCCAGTGAGCTACGAAAGGAAAAGCACACAAGGGCAGGCGACCAGAGGACCATGAAAGGATGATTGCAACAAATAATCAAACTTAAGCGAGGGTGTGCAATACTTGGTGTGGATATGCGACCTTTAAGAAGTTGGCCGCGGCAGGCCCAGTGCATTGGCCAAAGTGGAGCAGATTTCGTGGCGCCGAAGTGGGGTTGCAAACTACATACTACAAACGCCACAAAACGCTGAAGGCATCACAAAACACACCATCATCGAAAAGTACACACCCTATTGCCCAATCGATGACGGGCCATCCACCACAGGACAGTGAAAGGGTTCTAGAGATACTCAATGTTCTAAATACATGAACAAGAAAGCCGCACTCCGAAACTCATCGCTTTCTTTTCACTGCCAACTGGTTTCGAGTAAGTTGGGATGATATTCACCCCCTGAGCGAGCGATTCATACATTGTGAATCACGCGTGGATCCGATGGATCTTGGCTGTTCCGATCCTAAGGATCTTCGACTCGGCTGTTCTGATCCTATGGGTCCTCGGCGTAGCGAATGAGGTAATCGGAGAACAGCAAACATTAGGGTGTGGAGGGAGGGGCCGAACATTGAGATATCCTAGA